ATGATATTAGAGACGGAATTAGGAATGGAATTATCGTTAGCTACGTGAACTTTAGGAACATAATTCCGTTACAAGTATACTTTTTTTTTTTTTTTTTTGTAGTGAATACATTTAATAATAACTTATACAGAATATTTAAAATAATTCTCATAACTATTTATCATTCTATAGACTAGTACAATTTCTAAAGATCAAAATATTTTTCATAACTTGCTTACTTTATTTTAAATATTGATCATATTATTTATAATTTTTCTCTTAATTACTAAAAGCATTATATTAAATTCTTCTTTTTTATCATTCTTTTTAAAAGAAAATTATACTCTATTAGTCTGCTTCTAAAAATAACATTAAAAAATATTTTTATATTTTTTATTATATAGTGTTTATTCAAAGTATTACATATACTATTTATTTATAGTACAAAAACAATCAAATTAATTAACATATATATATATATAATTAATTAAAGAGCTCATAATGATAATATATATACATATAGGGTTTGTTTGCGGGCAATAATTTTTTGGAATCACGTTTTCAAAAAATAATATTTTTATTTTTATATTTTTTGTGCAATTTTCTGTAACATATAAAAAAAAATTATTATTTTTAAATATTTATTAAAAAAAAAAAAATAAAATATTTAATTAAAAATAATATATTTTATATTGTAAAATCAATTTCTCAGAGCACGTAGTAAGACTTGGTCAAGTCATGATGGATTGGCAAGTGGCTTCTGTTTTTCCATGGCCACTAGGGTGTGTTTGTTTGTGTGTATACTTCTTGAGTTTGAAAATATTTTTAGTAGTAACAAGATGAATTTAAATAATTTTTTAATGTGATATAAATAGACGTTTGACGTGATATTTTAAATATGAAATAGATTTATAGTATAATATATATGTATAAAAAATATAATAGTTTGATTTGATATTTTTTTTTTAAAAAAAATATGAATAATAAAAATATACGTTGAAAACCCACGAAAAGAACTCAACTTTAAGGTGTTGAGATGCGTATATGTGATAATAAAAAATGACCAATGCCCAAAGTAGATTCGATCATACTCAATAATCTTATATATTGATCCAACGATTCGATTAATTGTATGAAGTCTAGCTTTATAAACCCTAAACCTTAATAAGACCATAATGTCTGTCCTCCTAATTCATGTCTTCTTCCTCGTTGTCTTGCAACTAATTTTCGTCACTTATGTCACTCCATCCCGATCCCAATTCCACCAATGCCCTCCTTCTTCCTGCGGCAACATCACGCGCATAAGCCACCCTTTTCGACTCAGCACTGATCCTTCCCATTGCGGATTCGACGACATCAATTTCCAGCTCGATTGCCGTAATAACCAGACACTTCTCAATTTCCAAGGACAAGATTTTGCAACTAGGGAATACAGATCAACGACGCTTTTGGTGCTAAGTATCAATTATGAACAAGAGCGGATAAGGGTAGTCGACCCCGCTTGCTTCAATAATAATATCAATATCAATATGCCCGGAGACCTCTCCTCCTGTAATAGCCAAGCATACTATTTTCGTGATTCCTACAGCTTCTACAGCGATGGAATAAGTACGGTCCCGTTAAACAAAGCAGCAGCATTCATTCATTGTTTGTCGTCCCCTATTGCGAACGATAATAATAATAATAATAATTATGTTAGAGCCCCTTTCTTTGGCAACACAACAAAAACCATCCATTTTGGAAATTCTTCCCAATTCCATAGTTATGTCGTGCTTGGAGATCCTTATCTATCTTTGTCGTATTTAGAGGAGTCTTGCACGGTGGATAAGGTGCTTTTGGTGTCCGCGCGCTCGTCTATTACCAATAAATCATCGTTCATCGATATTTACAAGGCCTTGGCTTATGGGTTAGAGCTTTCATGGAGGAGAGTCTATTCTGAAGGTTGTTGGCTGGAGGTTCCCTATTTCATCTTAGCTCCCAATCACATTGTGACGGAAAGATGTTGTTCATATCGTTACTCATCTTTTCGTTGTAAGTGTCACTTAATTGATGTCTACTTCATATTTTACTACTCTGTCCGTCTCAAATAAAATATACAATTTTCTCTCTTATTGTATCACTTAATTATCAAATTATCTCATTTAAAAGAATTATAAATTGTCAAACCATATTGTTTAATTCCATTCTATACCTCAAATTTATTTGATTTTACACTTTAATTCATGATTATAACTTATTATAGACTATACTTTTTATCACTTATGATCAATAATTTAGAAATAAGTAGCAGTTATACTTTATCATAATTATAGTTTTCTTTTCAAATTGTATATGCTCATTATATACTAATTTGAAATTTTGCAGGTAGATATCTTAATAGACTTCAATGTACTTTTCTCAGATCCAATCTACTTTGGAATCTTGTGAGCTTTTCTTCTAGAATTTTTATATATTTTTATACTTTAATTTTTATATATTTTTGTTTACAGGGATAATGATTACGGTTCATTGGACAATTGGTAAGATTGGATTTTTTTTAAAAAATCATTTTATAACTAATGTTTAAACGATGTTTTAAGGATAAAATTGCAAAATATATTCTACACTTATACCATATTATCACTTTTGTCCTGTATCTATCTTTCTGCCAAAATATATCTCACATGTTTATAAAAATCGCTATTTATGTCCTTTGCCCGCGCGTCACATTCACACCACGCGCCCTTACGCACAATCACGTGCGGCCACACGCGGCCAAATGATAGAAATAACGACTTTTGTAAACATGTGAGATATATTTTGTCAGCAAGATAAATACCAGACAAAAGTGATAATGAGGTATACATGTAGGATATTTTTGCAATTTTCCCATGTTTTAAGTTATTATCTATGCATCTGAATGAATTTTCAAGGTGCTTTGGCTTTTATAATTTTGTTTTATATAAAATAATTTTTGATGTTATGTGTTAAATAAATGTATACACTCAATTGGTAGGAATAGAATGAGTTTAAACGGAAAAATATATTTAATTGTAAATTGTGCAATGCAAAATCATATTGAAAAGTTGACAGACATGTCATTTTTTTCTAAACAAATTAACCATAAGATTGCAAACAATTCTTCCTATTTGATATATATATATATATATATTTTCACGAAATAATGTAGGTGAGATCTTATCTATAAGACTTGCAATTGGGTTTGTGGTTGGATTTCCTCTTCTATTGTGGTTGGTGATCCATAAATGGAGAAGACGCCATTTATGCATGGATACAAATGTTGAAAAGTTTTTACAAGATCAACATGATTTTGCACCCATAAAATACAGTTACGCGGATGTCAAGAAAATGACGAGCAATTTTAACGAAAAATTGGGTGAAGGAGGCTATGGAACTGTCTATAAAGGAAAGCTTCGAAGTGGTCTTTATGTGGCGGTAAAGATGTTAGACCAAACCATAGCCGGGGTCGAAGAATTCATCAATGAAGTTGGCACAATCGGGCGAATCCACCATGTCAATGTAGTGCATCTCGTTGGGTTTTGTATCGAACGCTCAAAGTATGCTTTGGTATATGAGTTTCTTCCTAATGGTTCCCTCGATAGATATATCTTCAACGAACAAAGTTTAGGAGTGCTCGCCTTGACGCTCGACAAAATGTTTGAAATTGCACTTGGAGTGGCGCGTGGAATTGGATATTTGCATCATGGTTGTGATATGCGAATCCTACACTTTGATATCAAACCTCACAACATACTACTCGACGAGAATTTCAATCCAAAGATATCTGATTTCGGGCTTGCAAGATTGCACCCCACCAACGAGAGCTTCATAAATTTAACGGGTGCAAGAGGAACAATGGGATACATGGCACCCGAGATGTTCTACAGAAACATGGGAGGTATATCTTACAAGGCTGATATATATAGCTTTGGAATGATGTTGATGGAAATGGCGGGGAAAAGGAAAATCACGAATCATTTGGTTGAAGAAACAACTCAAATCTACTTCCCGATGTGGATATATGACCAACTATGTGCAGGAAAGGACATCGAGATGAAAGATGCAAGCGAAGAGGAAAAAAGAATGGTGAAAAAGATTATGATAGTCGCAATGTGGTGCATACAAATGAGACCATCCGATCGACTTCCTATCAACAAAGTAATAGAAATGCTTGAAAGTGAGTCCGAACCACGGATGCCTTCAAGACCACTTGCAGCGCCGCGTGAGATAGAAGCCGAAACGGATGATCATGGAACTCAAACTTATCTTGTAGATTGCATCAACTTAGATTTACTTCAAAGTTGAGCATTGTGGTATGTAAACCCTCTCTCCCCCTCCCCTCTCTCTCAATGTGATTGAGTGTGTGTTAATTGTTTTTGGCTTGCATTCTAAGTCTACTTCGAGTTGATTGTGTTTGAATGATTTTTTTGAGTAACATGTGCTGCACCAAAACTCTTTCGAACACCTAAAATATGATTAATTCTCGAAGCATAGTTATATCACAGTTATAACACTTTACTGTCAACCGTATGCATGCAGAATACAAAGCAGTAAATGAGACAAGGGTTTGTTAATTCAGTTGGTTATAAATAAACCTACATCTGGGAAATACCAATCCAATCCAAAAGTAATTTTAACAAAGACAAACCACAACTCTTTCAACTCATACTTGTACAACTTATATACACTCTGTCGCAATTTAGTCATACATTTTGCAATGAATTGTACAACTTGTATACATTATGTCGCAATTTAGTCATACATTTTGCGATGGATTGTACAATTGATATATATTCTGACGCAATTTAGTCGACGAATAAAAAAATCCGTTGCAATTTTACAATATATTTTACAATTGATATACACTCCGTAGTAATAAAGAAAATATTTATTTTTGTATTATTATTATTATATATATTTTTACATATTTACATACAATATAACCGTACATACCATTATTATTAAAACAATTAATAATAATAATAATAATTGTATATAAAATTTATCCGCCTTCCCCTACCTAATTTCACCCTCGCCGATTCTGGGTCGATTCCACTCCCAACCGCCGTCGTTCTACTGATTCAACCACCGGCATCGCCTTCGATTCCGCTCCCAAAAGCCGCCTAAGCCGTCATTCTAGTAATTCAACCACCACCACCAGCATCGCGTTCGATTTCGCCTTCGATTCCACTCCCATCGCGCTCAACTACTTATATTTATTTGGGGAATTTGTTCTAAGTTGCTTGCTGCAAATGCATATACAGGTGATCCCTTCGTCGCGGACGCTGAGACATCGCAAGCAGCCGTTCGAATTTTCAGGTATCTTCTCTGGTTCCATACCTCTGGCATTTAATGGACACTTACTAATTCGCAGTTAGAGAGATACATATTTGGAAGCACTACTTTTCTGTTCCAGGAAATTTTGGCTTGGTTTGAATTTATTGAATGTTTATGCACTTTGCGAAAGAAATATGTCTATACAGTTTCGTTTCGATGCTCTGAGCGTTGGTGAAATTATTTCTAGCTTACAATCTAATGTTTTTATATTCCAACAATTTGTGCTTTGCGTGAATTAAATTACCTCCTGTGGAAATACGTTAAGCTACTTTGAAGACTCCAGGAAGAGATTAATTGGATTTGAGTTGCATTAATGTAGGTGATGCTTATTTGTATTAGTCCGAAGATAAAAGCTTCGAGCTTGGAAGAACTAGTCTATATTTGTAGATGGAAGTTATTTTGTAATTACTTTGAGCAAGTCTTTAGTGCTGATTTTACTCCATTTATATACTTTTCAGTTGAGAATAAAGAGGTGATAAAGAGGAGGTTCTACAGGTATGAACATGGTGATTATGATGCTCCCTCTGAATCTTCTTCATCTGACTCTGAAGTGGAGGTAGAGGCCACTGATGAAACAGAATATGAAGAAGAAGAGGAGGAGGAGGAGGAGGGAGATGAGGAGAATGAAAATGCTGTTGTAAGGCGAAAAGGAGAAACTTCTTCTTCTGGTTTGTGAAGCATTCTTATGATCTGTGCTATGCATACTTGATCATTGTGATCATATATCTATTTATTTGTCAATTCTTCTGGTTGAAAAACACTTTCACCAGTAATTCCATGGACGTTACTTGATGTAGGTATATTATTTGATTAGATTGTTTTCTTTGATTTTTCTTGGTATATTCTAAAAGCTTAGATTGTGATAACTAGACTGTTAATAATGTAACCTATGTTTTTGCCAAGGTTATTTTATTTGTATTCGCTTCTTCAGGTTACGAGAGCGAGGATAGTTCAGCAAATGAAGTCAATCTTGATTCATCAGGTTAAATCAGTTCTCATCTTCTTGTTTCTGTTACAGCTTTTGGGAAAGTTCATAACAAATTCCATTTTTTAATTTTTGATGTAATTCTGATTGGACCAAATAATGTATAGTTTCTATAGTTCTCCTTACAGTATGTATAAATATTTGAACTTTCACTAGAAGGAATGCGTTCTTCAGTGATCTTCTTGATAAGTAATGCTGCAGTACCATTCTCTTTGACATGAATATTGATATTGTAAATGAATTCATCCTTCTCCTAATGATATCGTTTGCAACATGGTTTCTTTGTTGATTTAACATATAATACATTGTTATCATTTTGTTTGGCATCGATAGTGACTAGGAATTTGTCTTTTATTCATGCCATTGGTTACTCATCAGCTTGACATATGTAAGGCTGGACTACCTACTACTACCTTAACTGTAATTTAGACGGGCTTTTCCCATCACTTGCTGCAGAAGATGTATACATATTAATTCATATTAAATGTACTCGACACTGCAAAAGTTTGTTTAAATTGCTAGTCGATTCAAATGTGGACACTCAATTATCAGGGGAAACATCTTTCATTTTTATTTCCATGAATGTAGAAGATTAGTGCGGGAATGGTTTTAGGATTTAATAGAACATCTGAAAACTAACAAGAGAGCGATTTTGAGGATAAGCTGATACATAATATATGGATTTTGCAAAGTTCTATTTCTTAATTTTATTTCCTTGAAACACTCTATTGGTGCATGGTATAACTATTGCCTCATATTTTGTGATGCAAATGTTTTTCACAGTTCTAAAATCTTCCTGATCCGAAAAATAGCATAATTTGGCAGGTATGGCCTCAAGTGATGATGATGTTGGAGCTCAAAATGGTGCTGGAGCTTTTGCTACTGATGAAGTCGACAATGTGTTTGGCAAAGCACCACATGGTCCCGAAAAAGATGAGAGCCCCTTCGATGTGAAAGATTGTGTCGTAAAATGCAAATCAGTTTTCAAGTGCAGGCTCTGCCCTAGGATTGTCTGCTTGTCCGAGGAGACACTAAAGGCTCATCTAAGCTCCAAGGCAAGTATATAATATCTTTTATAATCACGCTCATTGTGGCTATTGTGGGGTTGAACTTAATGCACTCTTGAGGTAGTCGATGACATTAGTTTTTTGTCCCCTTTCTAGCGACATGCCCAGTCTGAGAAATTGTATAAAGAAGGGAGGCTTAAGGTTATGCTCAACAGTGAGGGACGGATCGAGGTTGAGATTCATCATGATAATGATGATACAAATACAGTTTCTATGAAGGTATATATATAGATTATATTACGATTGAGCAGATAGGTTTACTCCCAACTCCTTTGTTCTGTTATTCACTACTTTCGAACACAATAACCTTAACAGAGTCCAACTAAATCGAAGAAAAAGGGCAAAGGGCAATGGAAACAGAGGAAGAGATCAAAATAGGTATTAAGCACCATACTATTGTCGAGATGTAACCCCGAAGGCCAACAATGCATAACACAGTTTCATAAATAACGTACAGGATACAAGGTCGGGTAAAGCGAGGCAATCAGAGAAACGAGCGAAGAGGCAGAAGAACGAATGATGGTGATGACGACGACGGCTCTTCTGCCTTCCGATTTTTGTTTTAGGTAAATTTTGTGCAAGACAAAAAACTAAAATACAATCAGACAATCTTTGCTTTTCTCTGATTATGTTTTCAATTTTGCCCGAATCCTAAATGAGTTAAGCCTTATGATACACAAAATTTGAAATCATAGCATGTTCTTAGATTAAGGAGGCCTTCCGACTTGTTAGGGCTAGAGGGGGTCAGGGTGACCATCGTGATGATGCACCCGCTCATCTAGATCTAAATGATGATTCAGGTATTTAGGAAGAAGTTTAAATATGAACATTATTATTTACTTCATTAAGGTCTTAAGTGTTTTTGTTATATTGTAGGCTCCGCCACTTTTTTTTTTCCTGAAACTTATAAATGTGTGTGATATATTGTAGGCACACCATCACGAGTACATAATTCAATTCCCATAGATGCAGAAACTTCTAGTAAGTTTCAAATGTATATAATGTAATTTAGTAATTCATATTGATATTAATTCTTAATATGTTCATTGTAGGTTCCGCTCCACCTTAAGCTTCATCCACCACTAGAGCGCAGTGTTCTACCATCAATCAAAGTGACAGCAGGTATGGAATTATTTGAATTAAATGGTTCTTTTTGTTTGATTGAAAAGTATTGTTGTAATTTTAATATAATTATCTTTGCATTAATATTTCAGCTTTTTGTGGACACCTAAGGTAACTAGTAAATTTTGTAAATTATTTTTTTCATGTATCTGTTTTTAGATTCGATTTGGTTCAAATTTTTTGTAGATACTGCAAATATGTTTGATTAAACAAAATATTGGTTAATCAAAACTTTTGGTTTGACGAGGATCACAATTTCGAGTATTTGTTCGATTTGATTCGAATATTAAATAATTGGATATTTACAAATAATCAAATGGTGACCTATCCCTTCAAAGAAATCAATAAATATTCTTGGGGCAGCGCCAAAGAGGTTCTTCCTCCTGCTCCAATTCTTCATAGGAACAGCAGACAATATTTATAGGAAATAAACACATTTATCATAATGGAAAATCAATTAAATTCAATGTTATATTGTATTTTCCCGTTATTAAACTTAAAAAAGAAAAAAAAAAAAATTAGAAAATTTTAAAAATCTCTAAATTATGAAAATTGAGAAATTGAAATAGTGAACCATAAAATGTTCTTAATTATGAAACTAATATTTGATGGATATTTAACAAATGAATACTGGTAAGCCATAGCGTGCTACTAACTGCCATGTTTTTCTTCTATGTGCTAAATGAGGCTAATCAAAAATGAAATTGATTTGCTCCCGTTAGCACCGTAACCATTCCGCTAAAATATGTATAGACAAGTCTAAATTACACATTAGGCTGAGGTCGAGTCATGTCACGTATGTATTTGTTTTTATTTTATTGACTTCCAAAATTTATACTTACTCGGTCTTGCAATAAAACAAAACAACAACAACAATAAATAAATAAAACGAATTACAAAATTTTAAATGAAAAATAAATCAAATTTTATACCTATTTTCCTATGTAATATCATGTCCGACAATTATTTCATTTAACAATAATAATAAAGCCAGTAAGAAATGGATAGTGATGTAAGGATGAACTTGTGACTGTAATGTTATAGATTTAAATTCGGATCCCTCCCGGTCTTGTCCCAAGTAAACATATTAACACAAATATCATAATATATATATATATATATATGCATCTATAGTTTTGAAAATGTTTTAACCAAGTCTTTACAATTCAACTCATTTGTAGATATTGTCCATTTCTCAAGTGATTCACACCACATATATTAATTTATTTTTACGTAATTCAACATTATAATTTTGAAATAAAATTCAGCACACATATAATCTATTCCATAAAACAATCAAAAATTTAATTAAAGAGCTGATAATGATAATATATATGACTTGGTCAGTTCATGGGGATTGGTTTGCTGTCCTGTCCTGTCCTGTCCTTGTTTTTCCATGGCGACCTCGGTTGCATTGAATATAGATATATATATATATATATACACACATATACATACATGTAATAATTAAAATGATCGATATTCGATTATTTATATGAAGTCTAACTAAACCCTAAACCTTAATAAGACCATAATGTCTGTCCTCCTAATTCATGTCTTCTTCCTCGTTGTCTTGCAACTAATTTTCGTCACTTATGTCACTCCATCCCGATCCCAATTCCACCAATGCCCTCCTTCTTCCTGCGGCAACATCACGCGCATAAGCTACCCTTTTCGACTCAGCACTGATCCTTCCCATTGCGGATTGGACGACATCAATTTCCAGCTCGATTGCCATAATAACCAGACACTTCTCAATTTACAAGGACGAGATTTTGCAACGAGGCAATACATATCAACGACGCTTTTGGTGCTAAGTATCAATTATGAACAAGAGCGGATAAGGGTAGTCGACCCCGCTTGCATCAATAATATCAATATCAATACGCCCGGAGACCTCTCCTCCTGTAGTAGCCAATCATACTATTTTAGTTATTCCTACAGCTTCTACAGCGATGGAATAAGTACGGTCCCGTTAAACAAAGCAGCAGCATTCATTCATTGTTTGTCGTCCCCTATTGCGAACGATAATAATAATAATTATGTTAGAGCCCCTTTCTTTGGCAACACAACAAAAACCATCCATTTTGGAAATTCTTCCCGATTCTATAGTTATGTCGTGCTTGGATATCCTGATCGATTATCTTTGTCGGATTTACAAGAGTCTTGCACGGTGGATAAGGTGCTTTTGGTGTCCGCGCGCTCGTCTATTACCAATAAGTCATCGTTCATCGATATTTACGAGGCCTTGGCTTATGGGTTTGAGCTTTCATGGCGGGGAGTCGATTCTGAAGGTTGTTGGCTGGAGGTTCCCTATTTCACCTTAGCTCCCAATCACATTGTGACGGAAAGATGTTGTGCATATGGTTACTCATCTTTTCTTTGTAAGTGTCACTTAATTGATGTCTACTTCATATTTTAATACTCCGTCCGTCTCAAATAAAATATACAATTTTCTCTCTTATTGTATCACTTAATTATCAAATTATCTCATTTAAAAGAATTATAAATTGTCAAACCATATTGTTTAATTCCATTCTATACCTCAAATTTATTTGATTTTACACTTTAATTCATGATTATAACTTATTATAGACGATACTTTTTATCACTTATGGTCAATAATTTAGAAATAAGTAGCAGTTATACTTTATCATAATTGTAGTTTTCTTTTCAAATTGTATATACTCATTATATACTAATTTGAAATTTTGCAGGTAGATATGTTCATAGACTTCAATGTACTTTTCTCAGATCCAATCTACTTTGGAATCTTGTGAGCTTTTCTTCTAAAATTTTTATATATTTTTATACTTTAATTTTATATATTTTTGTTTACAGGGACAATGGTTACGGTTTTTTGGACAATTGGTAAGATTGGATTTTTTTAAAAAAATCATTTTATAACTAATGTTTAAACGATGTTTTAAGGATAAAATTGCAAAATATATTCTACATTTATACCATATTATCACTTTTGTCCTGTATTTATCTCTCTGCCAAAATATATCTCACATGTTTATAAAAATCGCTATTTATGTCCTTTGCCCGCGCGTCACATTCACACCACGCGCCCTTACGCACAATCACGTGCGGCCACACGCGGCCAAATGATAGAAATAACGACTTTTGTAAACATGTGAGATATATTTTGTAAGCAAGATAAATACAAGACAAAAGTGATAATGAGGTATACGTGTAGTAGGATATTTTTGCAATTTTCCCATGTTTTAAGTTATTATCTATGCATTTAAATGAATTTTCAAGTTGCTTTGGCTTTTATAATTTTGTTTTATATAAAATAATTTTTGATGTTATGTGTTAAATAAATGTATACACTCAATTGATAGGAATAGAATGAGTTTAAATGCAAAAATATATTTAATTGTAAATTGTGCAATGCAAAATCATACTGAAAAGTTGACAGACATGTCATTTTTTTCTAAACAAATTAACCATGAGATTGCAAACAATTCTTCCTATTTGATATACATATATATATATATATTTTCACGAAATAATGTAGGTAAGATCTTGTCTATAAGATTGGCAATTGGATTTATGGTTGGATTTCCTCTTCTATTGTGGTTGGTGATCCATAAATGGAGAAGACGCCATTTATGCAATGATACAAATATTGAAAAGTTTTTACAAGATCAACATGATTTTGCACCCATAAAATACAGTTACTCGGATGTCAAGAAAATGACGAGCAATTTTAACGAAAAATTGGGTGAAGGAGGCTATGGAACTGTCTATAAAGGAAAGCTTCGAAGTGGTCTTTATGTGGCGGTAAAGATGTTAGACCAAACCATAGCCGGGGTCGAAGAATTCATCAATGAAGTTGGCACAATCGGGCGAATCCACCATGTCAATGTAGTGCATCTCGTTGGGTTTTGTATCGAACGCTCAAAGTATGCTTTGGTATATGAGTTTCTTCCTAATGGTTCCCTCGATAGATATATCTTCAACGAACAAAGTTTAGGAGTGCTCGCCTTGACGCTCGACAAAATGTTTGAAATTGCACTTGGAGTGGCGCGTGGAATTGGATATTTGCATCATGGTTGTGATATGCAAATCCTACACTTTGACATCAAACCTCACAACATACTACTCGACGAGAATTTCAATCCAAAGATATCTGATTTCGGGCTTGCAAGATTGCACCCCACCAATGAGAGCTTCATAAATTTAACGGGTGCAAGAGGAACAATGGGATACATGGCACCCGAGATGTTCTACAAAAACATGGGAGGTATATCTTACAAGGCTGATATATATAGCTTTGGAATGATGTTGATGGAAATGGCGGGGAAAAGGAAAATCACGAATCATTTGGTTGAAGAAACAACTCAAATCTACTTCCCGATGTGGATATATGACCAACTATGTGCAGGAAAGGACATCGAGATGAAAGATGCAAGCGAAGAGGAAAAAAGAATGGTGAAAAAGATTATGATAGTCGCAATGTGGTGCATACAAATGAGACCATCCGATCGACTTCCTATCAACAAAGTAATAGAAATGCTTGAAAGTGAGTCCGAACCACGGATGCCTTCAAGACCATTTGCAGCGCCGCGTGAGATAGAAGCCGAAACGGATGATCATGGAACTCAAACTTATCTTGTAGATTGCATCAACTTAGATTTAGTTCAAAGTTGAACATTTCGGCTTGTTTACAGCTTTAAGATTGATTGAAGTGCTCATTAGAGTTAATCAGTGATTGCTATGAGTTCTATTAGTATAGTAAGAGCATGCAGGTTGTTATTATGTAAAAGTGAGTTCATATAATTGTGCATGAGATTTAGAGTTTTTTAACAAGAGGAGCCGAATATAATTTTAAATATTTTTGTTCGTTATGTTTGTAACCAAAGGTTCGTGCTCGTTTGTTAAGTATTCGAGTTTATTTGTATTGTTTAAGTTTGGTTCGTTAAGAAATTTTATTGTTCAAGTTTGTGTTTAGGTCGAATAATTTCGTTTGAGCTTTGATTTGATAGATATGATATTTTATTTTATTTTATAATATATATATTATTTTATTTGTTTTTTAATTAATAATTTTATATATTAATATTCTAATTAAACGTTTGCGAACATGACTCAGACTGCTTTGTTAACAAAATAAGTATTTAATTTTTAAAATATAACACGTATACAATTATATATATATATATCTATAAAACAATATTCAATAATTATTACACTTCAAAACATATCATAACCCAAAATATAAATGATTAAAAACACTCAACCCTAAGGCCTACATAGCTACAATATGCTAACAAAAAATATATATATATATTTATCGAATATATTCCACAAAAAATTCTGGGTCCTTTCAGATAAAAATTTTGAAAGTTTTTGAGTTTTAAAATTTTTTGAAAATAGTAAAAGATTGTATATTTAATATGATATTTTTTAAAAAGTTAATAATACCAAAAAAATCAAAAGTATATCAACACAAACAAAATTTTTATTCAAAACATCGTATTAAATTCTAAATCATAACGTTAAACTTACATCTAAGATCGAAGAAAGAGTTCTCAAATTGTATTATTATTATTATTATTATTATTATTATTAATATTTTTATATTATTCAATTGACTACAAAGTCTAGGAAAGGCAATATAGGACAAAAGTAATTGTGTAAATTAATAAATATAAATTAGAGTGGACTTACAAGAGTCATGGATCAAGTCAAGAAGTGAAAAATAATTGATTAGGAATTATAAATATTTGTCCCACATTTTATTATTATATTGACGTGACATTCAGGCCAGCAAGTCAAAATTGTATTCCCTCCGTCACAAACACCTTGCAATATTTACAAAATAGGAAATAATTAATTATATTTAATCTCTACCCAACATTTTATCCAGTCATATCATCCAAATAAAAAAATAAAATATATATTTCTCTCTCATCATATCACCTAATTTCTGAATTATTCTACTTAATATTACTTACTAAAAACCGGTGCCAAAAGTAAATATAACACCTTGTTTAGAACAGAGGAAAACTAATAGATCAATAAAAATCCTTCGAGTGCGCTTTAGTAATATTAACTACTTCTATAAAGAATTATATAGGAAAAATCATAGCATTGACATATTTTAATTTTCAATTTGGTTTATGGTTGGAAATTTAGTTCGGTTAATTGGAATGACTTATTTTAGTTTACGAATGAATTACAATTAAATGCAATATATATATATATATTTGATTGAAAATATAATTTGAAAATATTGATTGAAGTATTTTATAAATCATATCTTAATAAATACCCCTTCAATACAGGTATATATATATATACTAGAACACGCTCTTGCGCGGTATACCGCGCGACTATTCTATAATGTAATGTAGTGAAACATTATTTATTTGAAATATAAACTGTAAAACAAAAATGCAATCGAATTATTTGCGCTCAGGTCGGTTGGTCTTCGATCGGCTGGTCTGGTCAGGTGGGTTGGTTAGCTGTCGGATAGGCAGGTCGGAAGCTCCTCAGTCGGTTGGTCTGGTCGGTTGGTTAGCGGTGGGATAGACAGGTCGGAAGATCCTCGGTCGGTTGGTCTGGTCGGATGGTTAGCGGTCGGACAGACACGTCTGATGCTCAGCAGGTCGGACAGACAGGTCTGATGGTCTGCGGTCAGATAAAGTAGGTCGGCTGGTCTGCGGTCGGATAGGCAAGTCAGCTGGTCCGCAGGCGGATAGACTGAGATAAGAAGGGTGACCCTGCATCTCTTTATGAGTTTTGAAATGTCAAAAATAGCAAGGATATTTCAACTTTGACAATTGTTACGCACAAAAAATAATAATAATAATAAAAATAAGGATAGCGGGATCTTAAAGGAAGTTAGACACGAAGTCGGGTGGAAATGGAGAAAAATTTGCGCTCAGGTTGGTTGGTCGGATGGTCAGGTGGGTTGGTTAGCGGTCGGATAGGCAGGTCGGAAGGTCTTCGGTCGGTTGGTCTAGTCGGTTGGTTAGCAGTCGGATAGGCAGGTCGGAAGGTCCTCAGTCGTTTGGTATGGTCGGTTGGTCCTCGGTCGGATGGTTAGCGGTCGGACAGACAGGTCTGATGGTCTGCGGTTGGATAAAGTAGGTCGGCTGGTCTGCGGTCGGATAGGCAAGTCAGCTGGTCCGCAGGTGGATAGAGTGAGATAAGAAGGGTGACCCTGCATCTCTTTATAAGTTTTGAAATGTCAAAAATAGCAAGGATATTTTAACTCTGATAATTGTTACGCACAAAAAATAATAATAATAATAAAAATAAGGATACCAGGATCTTAAAGGAAGTTAGACACGAAGTCGGTTGGAAAAGGAGAAAAATTTGTGCTTAGGTCGGTTGGTCAGGTCGGTTGGTCTGATGGTCAGGTGGGTTGGTTAACGGTCGGATAGGCAGGTCGGAAGGTCCTCGGTCGGATGATCAGGTCGGTTGGTTAGCGGTCGGATAGGCAGGTCGGAAGGTCCTCGGTCGTATGGTTAGCGGTCGGACAGACAGGTCTGATGGTTTGCGGTCAGATAAAGTAGGTCGGTTGGTCTGCGATCGGATAGGCAAGTCAGCTGGTCCGCAGGCGGATAGACTGAGATAAGAAGGGTGACCCTGCATCTCTTTATGAGTTTTGAAATGTCAAAAATAGCAAGGATATTTCAACTTTGATAATTGTTACACACAAAAAATAATAATAATAATAATAAAAATAAGGATAGCAGGATCTTAAAGGAAGTTAAACACCGGGTGGAAAAGGAGAAAAATTTGCGCTCAGGTTGGTTGGTCAGATCGGAAGGTCCTCGGTCGGTTGGTCTGGTCGGTTGGTCCTCGGTCGGATGATCAGGTCGGTTGGTTAGCGGTCGGATAGGCAGGTCGGAAGGTCCTCGGTCGGTTGGTATGGTCGGCTGGTCCTCGGTCAGATGGTTAGCGGTCGGACAGAGAGGTCTGATGGTCAGCAGGTCGGACAGACAGGTCTGATGGTCTGCGGTCGGATAAAGTAGGTCGGCTGGTCTGCGGTCGGATAGGCAAGTCAGCTGGTCCGCAGGCGGATAGACTGAGGTAAGAAGGGTGACCCTGCATCTCTTTATGAGTTTTGAAATGTCAAAAATAGCAAGAATATTTCAACTTTGATAATTGTTACGCACAAAAAATAATAATAATAATAATAAGGATAGCAGGATCTTAAAGGAAGTTAGACACGAAGTCGGGTGGAAAAGGAGAAAAATTTGCACTCAGGTCGATTGGTCAGGTCGGTTGGTCAGATGGTCAGGTGGGTTGGTTAGCGGTCGGATAGGCAGGTTGGAAGGTCCTCGGTCGGTTGGTCTGGTCGGTTGGTCCTTGGTCGGATGATTAGGTCGGTTGGTTAGCGGTCGGATAGGCAAGTCGGAAGGTCCTCGGTCGGTTGATCTGGTCGGTTGGTCCTCGGTCGGATGGTTAGCGTTCGGACAGACAGGTCTGATGGTCAGAAGGTCGGACAGAAATTTCTGATGGTCTGCGGTCGGATAAAGTAGGTCGGCTGGTCTGCGGTCGCATAGGCAAGTCAGCTGGTCCGCAGGCGGATAGACAGGTCGCTTAGTGGGTGCGGCCAAGGAGTCTATTGGTCTACCGATTGGTCTCTGGATTGGTCGGTTGGGCTATTTGAGTTCTGGAACTGGTGGAGGCGTTTGGCGAGGCGGTTGATGTTACCGACCAGACGATGTTCCAAAACTTTTCGTCTTGGGCGGTTGACGACGACGGTTCCAAAACGTCTTTTCAAGCTAGTACAAAGGTAGGTTAAGGGCTAAATTGTCATTTTCGAAATGAGGGGCAGGATAGACTTTTCAAGTGGCAGATCCGTACAAACTCGTGTTTATAAGATATAATATATATATATATTTTTTACATAATAATATAATTATCTATAACACAATAATTTTGTTCATCCAACACTAGGGCTGAACATTCGGACTTTCGGTTCGGATTTTGCCAAGTTCGAATCGATTCGAAAATTCGAAATTTTTGAAAAAATCAATCCGAATCGAACTGAAATAATCGAAATTCGAAAATTCAAAATTCGAACTAAAAAATCCGAACCAAACGAAAAATCCAAAATTTTAAATATTTTAATTATTTTTTTAATTTGTAAATTTCTTTTATATTTTATAATTATTTTATAATATTAAATATATATATATAATATATAAAAGTAAATATATTAAAATATAATTAATAATTTTGAGTTTTTTTTATATTAAAATATAATATTTTTTAATAAAATATTAAATATATAATAAAAAATATTAAAATGCTATATTTCGGATTTCAGATTGGTTCGAATTTTAATTATACCGATCCGATCCGATCCGAAAATCCAAAATTTATCAAAAATTCAATCCGAACCAATCCGAAAATCCCAAAAATTCGAACCAAATTTTATATTTTGATTTGGTTTGGATCGGATTTTCGGATTTCGGATATTTTGCTCACCCCTACCCAACACTATTTTTTCATTATGATTCCAAAAAATAATACTACAAATACTACAAAATACTTCTTATAAAAGTAAAAAATAAAAAAAAAAGTTCAAATACTCATTACAAAAAGTTACAAAGTCAAAATAACAAACGAGTGGACCGTATTATTTCTGTCAACACATTTTTTATATTAATATGATACAAATACAACACACACTACCAAAAAATAATATATTTGTAACGGAATTCCGTCCCTAAAGTTCACGTAGCCAACGTAATTCCATTTCTAATTCCGTCTCTAATGTCATTAGTAACACAAAAAGTAGATTTAGAGACAAAAAAATTTTGTTACAAAAATAATTTTTTCTTGTACTGACATGAATTAACAACCCATGCTATAATCATATAAAATACACGACAGTTGATTTTAGTACTCCATCCGTCCCAAACAAAGTGCAACATTTATTTTTGGCACGAGTTTTTAGGTGGGTAGTATTAAGT